CTGCAGTTCACAGTGCCTGCCTGACAACGTGATGACAATGTCGCTTTATTGGACCATCCCGCGTGTTCCTCTGATCTAAATCCAATTGAGAACATTTGAGGATGTTTTAGGGGTTTTCTGTGATTTTTCTGAGTGGTGGTCTTAAACTTTTGATCAGCTGATGAACAGCCTATTTCAGTTAAATTGCTGGTTTCAATACATTACCTGCTCAAAACTTTTTGTCTCTTGTTCCCATATCTTTTTTTTTTTTTTTTTTTTTTTTTTTGCATTTTGAAGCTCTACTTGAAACCTTCTTAAGATCCAACAGTGCAAAATGTAAATTCTTGCAATTATTTTAACTGGTCTTAAGATTTTGATCAAGAGTGTATACTGAGAGTCGTGTGTGATTGACGTCTTTACTGTCTAATGGTAGCAACACTTGCCTATAACGTGGCTTTCATTGAACATCTGCATCAAACATTCAGCTACTTCCCCAATTCAGTTGGTATTTGTCAATTTAACAAGATAATTGCTTACAATTGTAATATTAGAAAGTATGTAGTCATGTAAATTTGAAAAGCATCTTTATTGTTTTCTAGTCAAATATGCATAGTTGTCTTCTGAGCGTCAGCATGTGTACATTTACATTTGCACATTTTTATCTGGCAGATGTTTATAACGTGTTATTGTTCACAGTTATGCGTCTTATGCTGCCCAGCCCTCACAAAGTTATGGACAGTCTGGACAGGTAGGATTCAATTAAACCAAGCAGTTGAGCAGCTTGTTTATGTAATTACATTTTGAACAAAATTGTGAAAGAAAAGGCAAAGTTCTTTATTGCCCACGAAGCTATTGAGGTTCACAAGGTACAGCCAAGATATGTCAATATTCATTTAATTTCTGTTTTTAACCCTTAGCAAGGCTATGGTCAGCAGAATTATGGATCTTACAGCCAACCTGCTGCTACCGCTGATGGCAGTTACACCCAGACAACCCCAGCTGGAGGAGCCTATCCTCAGCAGCAACAACAGTATGGTACTTCATATGGCCAACCAGCTTCAGGTAAACCAGAACAGTAGATTCTAATCTTGACAGCAATGACAAAACTTTCTCCATGTACAGTATTTAGCTTAAAATGATTACAAGTAGTGCAAAATGCATCTAAGGTTCATATGTTGTTGATACAGACTTTCTATTAGTCTTTGTTTTTAATATTTCGGATTTAGTCTAATTGATGTTGGACCACTTCTTAAACAAGTTTTGTATACTCTTTCCAGCTGGCTATCCTGCGGCGCAGTCTACCACTCCTAGCTACTCGCAGTCAACTACAGGTTATGGAACCAGTACTCCAGCTGCTGCTGCTCCAGCTGCTTCACAGTCTTATGGCTCACAGCCAGGATATACTCCTCAATCTACATACCCCGGTTATGGCCAGCAGGCTGCTCCTACCACACCACAGAGGTATGTATAGTCCATTTAAATAACACATTACAACTTTTTTTCTTAATTCCCTCAAACCCTCTTTCACATCTTTTCATTAGTTACAATGCTAATGGACAGTCAGCTGCCTACAGTCAAAGTAGCTATAGCCAGTCTGCAGGGTACGGGCAACAACAGACAGGGTATCAAGCCCAGCAGGCAAGCTATGGCCAACCACAGGGTCAGCTGCAGCAACAGGCTCCTCCTTCCTATCCCCCTCAGGCTGCTAGTGCTTATGGGCAGCCTTCAGCCAACCAGTATGGACAACAAGGTGGACCACCTAGTTACAATCAGAACAACCATTACAGTAAGAGTTACTTTCAGTTCTTAAGTTTCTTGTTGCTGCTATAATCCTTTTCATGCTGTTTTCTTCAACATACAACTCATTATTCTGATTACTACTTTTTAGGTAATTACAGACAGGATGGTCCAGGTGGAGGTTCTGGGTATTTTGGTGCCGAGTCTTCAAGGTACCCAGGGTCTGGGGACAGTAGAGGCCCTGGCAGAGATGGCTTTGAGCGCGGTGAAATGATGCGCGGTCATGGAGGAATGGGTCGTGGTATGGGGTAAGTGTTGTTCTTTTACTCCTAAACTCAAATGTCTAACTCAGCAGGTATATTGGCCAGCTGAGGCAGGGCTAAGAGATTCCTGTAGAAACAGTAGCTGTGGTCAGTTAACATGCTAATTATGTCTTCTTGCATTTTATAAGTGGAAACATTCTGATTTTGTATTTCCACTTATTAATCTTTATCTGAGTACTGTGAAAGGGTAGTTATGTCTCTGCATTACATAAATGTTGACCCTCTCTCAACCCTGCCTCTCATTTAGTCAAAGGTAAGAGAGGTTTGTTTCCTTCATAAATTTAAGTCCTTTTTCAGAGACCTGTGCATAAATAATCGGGTGAACTATTTGTGTAGCCAAATTAACTTGAGGCTAACAGATTGTTTGGGAAGTTGAGATTTAGCAGGAAATGTGAAATGAATTTAGGGGATCATACCACCTTTTCAAAACCCCTATTAGATAACTTTGATAGTTATCTAATAGGGGTTGTGAAAAGGTGGTATGATCCCCTAAATTCATTTCACATTTCCTGCTAAATCTCAAAGTAGTGAAAAAGGTGGTTTCACTACTGTTCATTAATCCACACTCTCAATTGCTTAGGGGAAAAAGAACAGCATTGGTGCTTGCAAGTTATGTATATTCTGGAAACTTAGTTGGACTCTAATGACTTAATAGGCCCAGACCATGAGCATGGCGTTATGATATATTATATAGTTGTGCTCAAGTGCAGCATTTTCTCTTGATGAGGGTTTCAATTTACATTGACAAATGCACACGTGTTTCAATTTGTGCTGTTTTTAAAGCATTAATTTGCACCTGTATATGGTTACTTAATTAAGATATTGAAGCAAATGTCTTAGTGGTGATATTGCATCTGGATATTAAATAGTTAACTGTATTTTGCACTTGATGTTAATTGTATATAGTATTATTTTCTTTTCCAATATTGGAGCCAAAAAAGTTTTTTCTTTACAAGTTCTTTTTGACTTAGTCTGAATATTCTTCAAAACACCAACCACAACTACCAGTGAGTAATTAGTTGTATTAACTATATAAATAGAATATACATTTGAGTATTTGTATTACTGCTTTCAAATTAAATTAATTGTTTTAAGCTTTTCATTTAGAAATGCACCAAAGGGTTTTGTTCTTAAAGGGACTGTTTAAGTTCATCACCTCGGCGCACATACAAACTAGTGAAAGTGCTTTCATGTATTTTAAAAGTTCAGACTGAACACAGTTCATTTTAAGTAGACCACTTGTTTTTCTGAAGTTCTTGAAAAATGGTATTGTCGTTGCAGTCTGCTATTTTACGGTTCTATTTTACGGACACATTCTTGCACACTGGATGTTTTTAAAGTGATAAACTTGGATCTGGAACAAAGGCAATGTTAAACCTTTTAACGAGTATTCATTGATGATCTTTGGTCATAAAACACCTGTGAAACGATAAATGCTAAATACAATGACAATGAGGTTTTAATGACCTGGCAGAGTGAAACATTTGAAAGGTCATTATTCAGGTGACCTAAAGTTGTTGTAGGTATGCCAACCCTCAATCCAGGGTTATGTTGAGGTTTGATGCAGTACATTACAGTACCATAAATGTGGTACTCGGTTAATTATACATTTTCTATCATACTGAATATCTTAATGTGAAACCTATTCATTGGGACATTTGGAACTGATTTGTTCATGAAACATTTTAGTTTACTGATTTTTCTGTGTGCAAAATACCAAGTAAGAATCACCATTGTTTAAGCTCTGATGGACAAAGGGGAGTTTTAAGGTAAATTAAAATGTGAAAATAGTGTTTTAGATTTGTCATCACTTATCAAGCTAAAGGGTACAGTGGACTGCTTTCTTTCTGCACACAAACGTCAGATGACTTTTGTCTAATTATTGATGTCGTAGGATTAATGTTAGACTTTGATATTTGAACATTAGTTTAAAATTATGATTAGCAACTAATGATTTTGAAAGGTTCATTTATGAGTTTTCTGTCCAGCAAGAACAGGCTGTTAACGAATATTCTGACAAATTTAGAGACAGGCAAAGTTGGAACTTCTACGTTAGGACAGCTTCTGTGTGGCACAGAATCGTGACATTGCAAAATCAAGTGTTGCTACAGCTGTGATCCTTCTGCTCATGAACTGCCTGGAGAAAACAGTGCTTGAATCAAAGATGCGCAACCAACTCTCCATTAATAACAGTGCATGCACATTGACGGCTTTAAATCAGAGCACCACATTTCCTGCTAGTCTTCTAGAGCAGATGCCCTGGGAATTCTTTGCAATTCATCAATATAACATTATATAACAATACTAAGCCCCAAACAGATAAACATTTAAACTAAGAAAAGGACCCTAACCCCAAACCATTAATCTGTGTCAAGTACAATTTTAAAATGCATGCAATTTGAAACCCCCTTTTTTTTTTTGTCAGAGTTAGAGTAACAGGTTGATGTGGGGTGTTTTTTGCCCTCTGGTTTAAACGGATAAACCTGTTTCAGACTGCTTTTTTATTTATTTATTTATTTTGCTACAAATAGCATGCACTTAATAGATAAAAAATAACATCTTGCCTCTAAACATTAGCTCCGCACAGGTATTTTTTCCATGGGGTGGGTGGGGGCGTTTTGTGTCGTGTCCTTTTGAAATGTTTAAAATTGTCTGTGGTTTGGAATTCAAATGTTTGATCAACTTTGAGTACTTTTTAACATGCTTTGTCACATTTATACCGTACAGGTTACAGTGAGAGCCATTTAAAAGCATCTATTCCCTAAAAAGTATCTGTTCTCAGTACAGAGTTGCCAGCTTAAGCAGCAGGAGGGTCTGCCCTAATTCAAGAACTGAGGATGGTGGTTTTTATGAGCATGATGTTTGTTTTGAGTCTTCGTATTTGATTTTATGTGTATTGGCAAAAACTAACGTTTTGGTGTTTATTTGTAACTTTGTATAATTTTGTTTTTCCTTTCCTGGTGAATGTAATTACAAAGTACACTTTCACATACTTTTTTTATTATACATGTCTTAATGGTAACTTTTGTTATGAATGTAGTGAGGTTTACATTTATTTGGGTACATCTGCTGTTGTTTTCAGTACATCTGAAATACTTGTGTACAATTGTCGGGGTATTATCACATGCAGCAAAAATGTTAGACATGAAAGTAATGCACAGATGTAAAGTAAACTGACACTTAAATTGTATTCAGCCAGCTAAGAAATAAGACAAATAATATACCTTACTCCTCAGACAGCCCTCAGAGTGTTAAGGTTGCTGTTCAACTAGCTAGAATGTTTTGATTGCTCCCTTAACCAAGCCACTTTGCTCGAGCCATAGAAGTGGCCGTAAAAGGGAAACACCTTCTTATCTCCATTTATTTTCTCATAGCGGCGCTGGAGACAGAGGTGGCTTCAATAAGCCTGGTGGTAAGTTAATGAGATTACACTGGCTAGACCTTTAAAACTTTAAAACTTTTTTACAAGTATTTCTGTCTCACATTGTGGTATCTTAATAGTTAAGACACTATCTGAAAACATTGGGGTTTTTTTCGCCCAATGCCTATAATCTTTTCTCTGGGTTACTTGGTTTAATTCAGTCACTGCTTTTGGTTTTGAAAGTTTTTAAAAGGTAAATGGCAAATTTCACTCAAACCTGTTAACCGTTTAACCTTCAGCACTGATTTTTTTTTTTAGAACATTTTATACTGGGCTTAAGCTTTTCATATGATTCCTTTTTATGTTTTTTTTTTTTTTTTTTTTTTTTTTTTAAAGTCAAAGGTTCTAAGGTTTTGCCATTTTCAACTTCCCAATATGTGTGACTGCATCAAAAAGGGAATGTCTGCATTAAATAGTATTTAGTGTTGTTTCCTTGTACAATTGTTCACTGACTTTGTTCTTGTTCTTTCCTCATTGACCAATGGACGACAGACCCGATGAGCAGCGAACGTAATATGGGTAGGTAAACTTGAACTACATGTCCAAAGGCTTGTGCACATGAAACATGCAGCACTAAGCATTTTTTATACATCTGTGTAGGACGCCCTGAAGAGCAGGATGACTCTGAGAACAACACAGTCTACATCACTGGTTTGACTGACAAGGTCACTGAGGAGGAAATGGCTGAATTCTTTAAACACGTGGGCCCAATTAGGGTAAGACAATGAAAATCCCATCCATTGTGAGAAATTATGTAGAAACAAACCAATAACTATGTTTTAGATGAACCGCAGACTTGGAAAGCTGGCTATTAAAATCATCAGAGGCGATGCAGGGACGCCCAAAGGAGATGCCACTCTGTCCTACGAGGAACCTATTTGTGCAAAAGCAGCCGTCGAGCACTTTGATGGTATGTTTAAATCATTGTACATCAGACTAAACTAGTTATAAATGTGGCGACGTTGTGATTACTGATGTCATATTAATGGGAGACTGGTTCAGTCTTCCATTGTTGTAGTTTGCATATTTTTCCTGAAAGGAAGTATATCAGCCATTATATTTAATGGATGATAATTATACTTTTAATCATAGGGAAGGAGTTCCAGGGCCGCAGGCTGAAAGTCTCCATGGCACGTCGAAAGCCCCCAATGGGGGGAATGAGAGGCAGCATGCCAATAAGAGATGCCATGATGGGTCGTGGAGGTACGTGTCATGACTATTAGTACACTGCTCAAAAAAATAAAGTGAACACTTAAACAACACAATGTAACTCCAAGTCAACCACACTTCTGTGAAATCGTACTGTCCACTTAGGAAGCAACACTGATTGACCATCAATTACACATGCTGTTGTGCAAATGGAATAGACAACAGGTGGAAATTATAGGCAATTAGCAAGAGACCCCCAATAAAGGAGTGGTTCTGCAGGTGGTGACCACAGGCCATTTCTCAAGTCCGATGCTTTCTGGCTGATGTTTTGGTCACTTTTGAATGCTGGCGGTGCTTTCACTCTCGTGGTAGCATGAGATGGAGTCTACAACCCACACAAGTGGCTCAGGTAGTGCAGCTCATCCAGGATGGCACATCAATGCGAGCTGTGGCAATAAGGTTTGCTGTCTCTGTCAGCATAGTGTCCAGAGCATGGAGGCGCCACCAGGAGACAGGCCAGTACATCAGGAGATGTGGAGGAGGCCGTGGGAGGGCAACAACCCAGCAGCAGGACCACTACCTCCTTTGTGCAAGGAGGAACAGGAGGAGCACTGCCAGAGCCCTGCATAATGAGCTCCAGCAGGCCACAAATGTGCATGTGTCTGCTCAAACAGTCAGAAACAGACTCCATGAGGGTGGTATGAGGGCCCGACGTCCACAGGTGGGGGTTGTGCTTACAGCCCCACACCGTGCAGGACATTTGCCAGAGAACACCAAGATTGGCAAATTCGCCCCTGGTGCCCTGTGCTTTTCACAGATGAAAGCAGGTTCACACTGAGCGCATGTGACAGAGTCTGGAGACGCCATGGAGAACGTTCTGCTGCCTGCAACATCCTCCAGCATGACTGGTTTGGCAGTGGGTCAGTAATGGTGTGGGGTGGCATTTATCTGGAGGGTTGCACAGTCCTCCATGTGCTTGCCAGAGGTAGCCTGACTGCCATTAGGTACCGAGATGAGATCCTCAGACCCCTTGTGAGACCATATGCTGGTGCGGTTGGCCCTGGGTTCCTCCTAATGCAAGACAATGCTAGACCTCATGTGGCTGGAGTGTGTCAGCAGTTCCTGCAACACGAAGGCATTGATGTTATGGACTGGCCTGCCCGTTCCCCAGACCTGAATCCAATTGAGCACATCTGGGACATCATGTCTCGCTCCTGAGCCTCATTTTGACTTGTTTAAAGAACATATCAAAAACACATCAAAATTGGATCAGCCTGTAGTGTGTTTTTCCACTGTAATTTTGAGTATAACTCCAAATCCAGACCTCCATGGGTTGATACATTTGATTTTCATTGATAATTTTTGTGATTTTGCTGTCAGCACATTCAACTATGGAAAAAACTATGGAAATAAAAAGTATTTATTAAAAATATTTCATTCATTCAGCTCTACAACGTGTTACTTTATTGTTCCCTTTATTTTTTTTGAGCAGGATATTTAAAACCTGCTTATAGTTTTGTGTGTTTTTATTGATAAATTAATGAGTCTTCTCATCATATTAGGAATGATGGGCCGTGGAGGTGACCGTGGTGGATTTGTCCCAAGAGGTGGGCCCCGTGGTATTGGCAGAAGTGGACCCACAGGAGGCAACATGCAGCAAAGAGCTGGAGACTGGGAATGTCCTAATCTGTATGTATCAGTGGGAAAAATCTTTTCTATCAGGGAGAAATTTGTAAAATTGTATATGAAAGTTTTTGGGGTTTTTTGTGCTTTTCCTTTTTTATCCTCCTAGGGGTTGTGGTAACCAGAACTTTGCCTGGAGAATGGAGTGTAACCAGTGCAAAGCCCCCAAACCAGAAGGTCTGGTCGGCGGTCCTCCATTCCCCCCTGGTGGTGAACGTGGTAGAGGTGGAATGGGAATGCGTGGAGGCAGGGGAATGGATCGTGGTGGACCAGCTGGAGTTGGAGGGCCAGGCGGCCCCGGGGGTTTCCGTGGAGGTTGGGGAGGTGACCGTGGTGGATTGCGAGGACGTGGAGGAATGGATAGAGGAGGGTTTTGGAGGTTGTGGAGGTGACCGTGGTGGATTGCGAGGACGTGGAGGAATGGATAGAGGAGGGTTTCGTGGTGCTGGACGTGGCGGGCCCCCCATGGACCGCATAGGTGGGAGAGGAATGGGGCCACCAGGAGGAAAAATGGAAATTAGGTAAAATTCCAATTTCCAGTATGTTTTTTTTTTTTTTTTTTTTTTTTTAAATAGAGGGGAAATGTATGTGACCTGCAGATATAGAGCTATCTGATTAACTTGGACTTGTACTTGCTTTAAAGGGACCATCGCCAGGAGCGCCGAGACCGACCTTACTAAAGAAGGGTGACTTTCCCACTTGTGAAATTTGATTTTAAGACATTCTATTTATGATTCCATATTTTGATGATTATTGCTCTGCTGTTAAACATCCTGTGCAGTTTCAACTTGTATTTCCATTTATTTTTAGCTTTAGTTTACTCCTTTTTAAAAAAATGTACTGCAGACTAGGTTTAACGCTATATTGTAAAATGCAATTATTTTTCATTTACAAAATTGCCTCCCCTGTACCATTGTAGTATATCACACATTTCAGAAATAAAATTTAGACTGTTTGATATCAGTTAACTTTTTTAATTATAAAAAAAAATCAAGAAATACTCAAGGATGAGTTAATAGAATGATCAGGTATGTGATCCCATTGTTTAGTTTGTTTTTAACATGATGCATACTATATTTAGGGACAAAGTGGGATTTGTTTTAATAAATGAATTGCGGTTTTTAATCTGGTCTCATTGAAAATAAACACTGAAGTGCAGCAAACTTCCATCGGCATTTTTTATAGAAGGTTCACTGAAAGTTTTCTGCCACTAGGTGGTGTAGTTTTCCTTTCCTTAAAATTACACTGTATCCTTAAAACCCCGCTGATGACGAGAGTCTGGCAGTGATGTCAACATGTCCTTGTTCTGATGTGGGTATAGAGGGTTTCTTTATAAACAGCACAGTGGTCCAAAACATTAACTGACCTATAAATGAACTTCTAAATTAATCTGTGGGAATCTTAAATTGCTTACTAAAAATGGCTCTAACCTTGGTGCACAATAATGTGGCCATTAACTTAAGATGTACATTTTTCTGTAGTAACTTAACATTTCGTCTTTGTCTGTCTATATATACAGACCCTTTCCAAAAAATTAGAATATCATGGAAAGTTTTATTTATTTTCCCTGCCCATACTGCCAGAAGCACCAAAACCTGGTTTGATGCCCATGCCACCAAAGTGCTTGACTGGCCAGCCAACTCGTTGGACCTAAACCATTGAGAATCTATGGCGTATTAAGAGGTAAATGAGGGGCACCAGACCCAAAAACAAAGAGCTGACAACAAGCATCAAGGAAATCTGGGCTTCCATTACTCTGAGGCAATGCCACAGGCTGATTGCATCAATGCCACGGTGCATTGAGGCAGTGATTAAGGCAAAGGGATTCCCAACCAAGTATTGAAGATTGACATATTGTTTTGAAAATATATTTTGATTGAGTTGATGTGATCCTAATTTGTCTTTTTTTTCTTCTGCAAAAACAGAAATAAATGGTGATTTCTCCAGTAATTTTTTTGAATTCCTGTTTTTGTGGGTTTCATGAGCTGGAACCCCAGATTGTGTAAAAATAAACAAATACTTGAAATCATTTAAATTGTGGGCCCTGAATCTATAATCTATAAAAGTTTAACATTTTTAACGGAATTATGGAAATACTTTTGCAGGATGTAATTTTTTGGGAAGGGTCTGTATATCCAAACCATTGCCTTAGAGGCTATCATAAATCAATTGCAGATGTCTTGGCCCATGTTCTTATGAACATCTCTCACTCTCTATGGACAAAAAATATGATTCATCCAGAAAAATATTATCCAACCACCACCTTCTTTCTTATCCTCTCCTACGGTTCTTCCCCTCTCTACATAAAGGCATACGCTCCTCTAATTTTTCAAATGAAAACGAGACCTCCCTCTTGGCTGCGGGGACTGCTTTATTTAAACAATCGCGCATTAGCAGAGCACATGACATGGACCCTTTTTAAAACAAGAGAAACTTAAGAATGGTGATGACTTTTAAAGATACAGTCACAAAGTTTTTAACATATACAATGCAAATACATTTCTACCTACAGTTTTCACAACAAACACCAGTTTAAAAGGAAAATATATATTGTTTTTGTGTTTACGTATTGTGTCAAATCACAGCATTTCTACACCTTAAGAAATAAAATCCATCACTGTACCTACTTATCTCACTTTTAAAATATCACTAATCCAGAATTATAAAGGCTTTGTAAAACAAAATGAAATAATAATAATAATAATGAACAGAACATATGATGATTTATTTTTTTAGATCACAAATGCTTGACGCTAGATAGATAGATAGATAGATAGGACACGTTTTTAATCAAATCGTAGGCATTTCGCTTAGAGTTGGTGTACATAGGGTTAACTTTTCCTCCTCCCCCTCTTCTTTATTCTGATAATGGGATGTGCCACCGAGTCATCTGCTGTTAAGCTGCAGCAGGTCATCAGATTCAGTGGAACAGGCGGAGCAACAGTGGCTGAGCTTATTTGCAGGGAAGATGAGCTGTGGCTTCAGAGCTGCTGCTGCCGCTGCTGAATTCATCCCCGAGCAGCAGCTCTGACCGGCCTCCTCTAATGGTGACACGTGGATTTCCGTGGGTGAGAGGACCCACCGGTCTCCGTCTGGACGGACTCTTCGACGCCTGTGTGTGTGTGTCGTAGTCGGGATCTGTCGGCAAGTCCTCGTTCTCTCTGCTGGACCCGGCAATGCTCACTGTGAAGGAACAGGCTATTCTGCAGACATCCGGAACACGCATCCATGCTCCAGGGTCAGTCCGTATCCTGACATGTCTGTGACAACGCCAAGCCTTACTTCCAGGATCTGCGATAAGAAATCACGCACGCAGAGCCGCATGGGTGCGTCAACACCGTTACTTCATTGTGTTTTGCGGGCGAGGCTGTGGGGCGGCGCAGCGCAATGAATGAATGAATCCCTACCGGGATTTTAGCAAGTAGACGTTATTGATACATAAACCCGACAATATGGCTGATCAGAGCAACATCCAATCCGCCGCCTCCAAGAGCATTCGGCCCTTCAAATCCAGCGAGGAATACCTGTACGCCATGAAGGAGGACCTGGCCGAATGGCTCAACACCCTTTACGACCTGGCTATCACTGCGGACACATTCATGGACGCGCTGGAAACGGGCTGTGCCCTCTGTCGGCACGCCAACAACGTCAACCGCGCCGCTTACGACTTCCAGTTGGAACACCCGGGGGCTGCGCTCTCCATGAAGGTTCCGTCCAAAGATGTTGTCTTTCAGTCGCGCAATGTCATACAGGGATCTTTCCTGGCCCGGGATAATGTGTCCAATTTCATCAGCTGGTGCAGACAAGAGCTGTGGATCAAGGACGTGCTCATGTTTGAAACCAACGACCTGGTGGAGAAGTGCAACGAGAAGAATTTTGTTCTGTGTCTCCTTGAGGTGGCACGACGTGGGTCCAAATTTGGCATGTTGGCCCCCATGTTGATCCAACTGGAGGAAGAGATAGAAGAGGAGATCCGTGACCAGGAGAGCCTGCACAGCCAGGCCGGAGAGCCAAGTGAGAAGAGTTCCAACATCAGGTGTTGTGGTAGAAAGGAGAGCAGTCAGAGCGTGGAGGACGAGGAGGAACCAGAGCCAGGACCTTTTGTCTGGCAGCAGGAGAGAGTTTTATGTAAAATGCGGAATTTGGATGAGTTGGTGAGTAAAGACACACTAACTCAGATTAACTCCTTAAATCAACCCAGTCTGTGACTTAAGTTTTTATATAACTTTGAAAACAGAAGAAATAACAAACCACTTCAGCAGTAATACACGGAGTTGTGTCGCAAATGAAGCCCACCCTCTGGAATCACCATGCAGGTGTGATGAAGATCACTGGCTCCGTGGTGCGTCTCTGCCATGTGGGTGTGTATTTGTACCTACCTAGCTAAACTTTGTTTTCACTGTGATCCCACTCTCCTGTCAGGGCCAGTGTGTGTGTGACCAATACATTCTTCGTTTTCTCC